TTTTATTTTTATTTTATTTATTTATTTATTTATTTAATCTGGCCTCATATTGCTCAGGTGTTTTTGACACTAATTGTTCCCGTCGTTTCTGTAATCGACTATTTCTATCACCTTCACTTTCTTTAGCTCGTTTTTCTTTCGCTTTTTGAAGCCTTCGTTTACGTTGTGTTGCAGTTTCTGTTTTATTTGTGTTTGTATTTTTTATATTTTTTTTACCATTTTGTTCCCACGAGTAATGGACATTTAAACGGTCAACCCCCCCAGAGGTCCAATATAGGGGCAAGGCTATGTACAACAAGATGCGCCTGAGTCTTGAGGGGAAAACGCTAACGACATATCATTTTTATCCACCCTAACGCCACACAGTCCTCAACACGATACAAAATCTTGACTTGGGTGGTGGATTCAGGCTGGATTAATCAGATACCTAAAGTATAGATTCAATTTCTAAATTTAAATCTATTTAAATTATTATACGCCATTTAGTGGCTGCTCCCATCTTAAATATTGAGGTTGTATAGTGCACTGTATTCTTCTTGTCAAGCCCTTTTATTTGAAACCCATATTGTTGTGATTGATAAAACCTATGTTATCCGCCATTTTGTAGCGGCCGCCATCTTGGATTTCAATTTTTTATATTATATTGTATTTCGCTTGTTGAGCCCTTTCATTTGATACCCATATTGATGGGATTGATGAAACCTACGTTGTCCGCCATTTTGTAGTGGCGGCCATTTTGAATTTATAATAATAATGAATAAACCTAATTGTATTGTCACCAAAATCCAAAGTGTATACAAAATTTCAGATTAATCGGTTGACAGGAAGAGGGTGAAATTTGAATTACTAATAAATTTGACCCAAGAATAAATAATTAAACAAACGGGGTGAGCTAAATAAAACCGTTTAATAAAAACTTGTATTCTATGCATAAATAAACAGTGATTACATTGAAAACAGATTTAAACAAGAGTACTATTTGAATTAATTTAAAGATTGAATAAATTAATTTAATTGTTAGAAATTATTAAAATATTTTTTCCCCTGGTAATACAGATTATTTAGAATATTATTATGTGTTTGTATGGACCCCTGAAGGCGAAGGTGAAGGCCTGCAAAGCTTGCCAATTGTCTCTATTCTTTACTGTAAGTAGCCAGTTTGTTCCTTTTTAATGTCGTCTTCCCATCTCGTGTAGGGGCCCTCAACCAACCCGATACCCGATCAGTAGATCCTCTAAGCGGACCTATTGTTTTTACGTCACATGACTCTATTTCCAACTCAATCTACATTTCGATTCAGTCTATCTAGCTATTGTAACTAGTCGTCTTATGCATCGTCCGACACGACCAAAAAGGTCAGAGCTCTGCAGACAGGGGACAAGCGAGGTGGTCTGTGATGGACCACCATCCAAATTCCAGATCCCGCACTCTTAATAAAAATCCATTTGCATTTGAGCCCAACTAGACCGGACTCCAACTTGCGACACGTTGTACAGCCGGTCACAACGCTAACCGTGCACTGTTTACCCGACAGTAAGTTACACATTACAACAGAAATCAGTAGAAAGGCGAGAACTGTATCCTTTCCATCTACGACAACTAATTGCCTACTACGTATGTGGTAAGTGGGTACTTTTTACACAGTACTAATTATTATTACAAATAAGGGGTAGGCTGGGTAGATCGGAGCCACGTCTTCGCAATCCGCGTCGCATCCTACTTCCCACACACGACACGTTTAATGTCTTCTAAACAACTCATTAAAGCTCATTATATTGCGAGACTCGTGGAACAATGAATGCGATGTGTGATGCTACATACTCTCTTTCAAATGAATAGACGACGGTTATAATCTTATGCAAAACTTAACAGGGTTGCCAGTTCGTTTAATAGGTAACATTTTTGTGTCTTTTCATTGGCAAATATTTCAGTCTTTTCTCTAAGACAATTTCTAGTATTTTGTAGTGGAATTACATAATGCTCATATGGGGCACGCACATGCTACCGTATCATCCTTAGATATTGATATAAAATAAAAAAAAAATGATGTCACCTACCCAGGCATACTAAAATAAAACAATACAAATCAGTATGGGTGACTTTAATTACATATTTAGGAAACACAACTACAGAAATCGCAATTAGTACCAGAACAGAAACTTTAAATAGATTATTTTTATTTGTTCTTAATTTTCAATTAATGTTACACCAATTCCTACTTCACAATTTTCTTAGTTGAGTAAAAAATTTAAAATCCTAATTATTTATGAAGTATTATGGTAATTAACTTAATAAGCTGCAAAAAAGTGTAATGCACTAAATATAGTACCTACAGAAGAACCTGTTTCCTGGCTTTGTACTTAAAAAAACCTTATAGAAAATAAAAGCATTGCAGTAAAAGCTTCAATAATAAATAAAAGTGGAGCAACAATCGAAGATGTATGAACTACGCGTTTATAGATTTGAATTACTATTTATGTTCATAACTGCTAGCTCAAAGGAGAGATTTGCATCGGCAAATTCTGAGGAGGTGATAACTAGTTCAGCTAAATGGTTTAGGAAGTATTAAACTCAATTAAAATTGTAGGTCTTGAAGGTTGTTAACAATTGTGCATCATTAAATAAATATATAATAGGTATCATAACAATATCTACAAAGGCGTAGTTTATACACTTACAACTAGGGCTAGCGTCAATAAATAGCCTTACATATCTAACACAGAAAGTACTTAAAAAGTAAACAATCACTTGGTAACAGCACAGAGGCCAAAATAAAAAAAAACACTTAAAAATTGTAGGCTCATTATACAAAAAATTGTAGCATCTCAATGCACGACATCGCTGAAGGAAGCATAAATGTTTACTTATACTTAAAACCTACATAAGTTATATAGTTATACTTAGTAATATCCCCTCTGGGGAAGTGTTCAAAAAGTGCATTATAAAAAATTGATATTATACAGCTTAATTTATTCGTTCGTCTACATACAGTCTAACCTTCATCAACTTATAAAATGGTATCTGGATTAGCTGATTACATAGATGTTCCAACAGGTCCTTGATTCTCTTAAACTAGACTACATCTTATTTTATAAATTCTTTTACACTTTGGTAGAGAATATATGTATCATAGGATTACCAATAGTATAAGCTCTCAAAACATCTATATGAAAAAGTATAAAACACACCGGTATTTGTATAAAGCTACACCTAATTATGACAAATCTATAAGGTAGTGATGTAATGAATAATCTTGAAAATCAAAACAATTACAAGTTATTTGATCTTAGGTAGACTGAGCAGGTGTTACTATATTACCCCAACCAATGTAAACAAATATTGTAGAATAAGAATACATAATACCAAATGCAGGACCAGGATCAGCTCGGTGACGTTTGACACTAGTGAAGCTCTCAGGTTTTAAGCGCTCTGGGTGATTGATACCTAATTCTCCATTTCCATAGCAACCAGCTAGACGTGTATTTGGGAATGCTGCCCGGAAGAGTTCTTGCTCATAATCATGCTTATTGTCACGACCCACACACGACATCTTGATAACCACACTGTGTTCAAAGTGAGGAACTTTCTTCGCAAACTGAAATAAAAAATATTAAGAATAAGGCATTGAATCAGTATTCCCAAAATTCAAATTCATTTATTTAATTAATTGTAAACATAGGTAACATTAGGTCAGGGTCTAAAATAACATTAATTATAAACGCTATGTTAGGTTTTATCAGCATACAAAATTATAAAATAGTTGGGCGCAATGTTTTGAATAAATTAAAATCTCATTTTAAGTTAAAAATTTTAACAATAGAAATATACAATACTAATAAAATTTTAAATAATTATTCAACGCTTACCTCATTAATAGCACTCTGTATCTTAGCTTTTGACCAGTCAGAGGATTCTAATATCAGTGAGAACATGTCAAAATTACAGCCATTTTCTGGTGGAGCATCAATAAAACTTTTGGGGACAGAGAACAATCCAATAGATACAATGTTCTCGGTCACTAGATCTTTACCAGTATTCACTCCTTCTATCATAATGTTCATATCATCCCTGTCGGACACTGTGTCTTCCACTATGCATCCTCCTAAGGCATATGGTACATTTGGCTGCCTAGATAGAAAAATAAAACATGAATGGTTTCATAATAAGAAAAATGTCCATCATTTAAGTAGATTATACTTACACCTCTTTCAAATAATTTAAAAAGACTATATCATCCACTGAATGCAGGATGAAACTTCCATTGACAAAGACCAGTGCACCCTTAATATAGTCTGTCTCAGCCAGTTTGTCTATGGTCTTCATGAAGACTGTTTTGATATCACGGATACACTTTATGTTAATGATTTGGAAATTCACATTTGGTATAACTGGTATGTACATTCCTACTATGAAGCCACTGATCCTACATAACTTCCTGCCAACTGTCAAGTGGTTGGTTTTTGAAGGTTTCAAAGGTTTATATGATATGTCACAGACTTTCACTGCCAGCATGCATTTCTTCGGAGCCACCACTACATTATCCACCAAATCTATAACTGAAATAAAAATGACATGAAATCTCTATTAAACTGTCAAACACCGAGCGGTCACCGGTGACCGCAACCTATTGTTCTTTAAAATGTCAAACACCAAGCGGTCACCGGTGACCGCAACCTATTGTTCTTTAAAATGTCAAACACCAAGCGGTCACCGGTGACCGCAACCTATTGTTCTATAATTGTGTCTACAAAACCGGTACTCGACGAGTTAATTGTGTCCATAATGACGGTACTCAACAAGTTAATCATTTGTCTTCAAACTTCCATTTTTTGTTCATCTCATTAGACTATTAGACATTATTGAAATGTCTAATAAGAAATGTTTTAAATGAGATTATTCAAGGGAGATGTTATTTGAATAAGTAGATCTTTAACAGAATATACTACCAAAAAAGGTGAATTGTTCGCATGTAAACTACATGAAATAAATACTCACGGTGATGACTCTTTTCACAAGGAGGATCACAAGGGCAAGTTAGTAATGTCTCACATTTGTAAGTGACTCCAAAACCTCCCATATTGCCAAATACTAACACCATTAGTGGTTCAGTGTAGAAGACATCAGACTGTACCAACTGCAGACCATTTTTAATGTGACACAGTCTCAAACTGATAGCAAAGTCAGCAGGACCAATCTGTTCCTTTTGTAATGTATTCACAGCTGACCTCCACATTGAGCAAACATTCTTACACATTATCTTGTCCTGCCATGGCAAGAAACTAAGAATTTTTTTAACAATTACATAGTTGGCAGCAACTTTTTCCAACAAACTTTGGTCTTGAATTATCTGCTGAAAGTTCCTATGCAACTCTGTCTTTCTGAAGAAAGCAGCCAAAGGAGCTGGTATATCTAACTTCTCACATCTCTTCTCAGTCTCACCAATTGGATCATACACATCAGAAGCATTAAAAGAACTTGGAATAACTGGTTCTTCAGCCATTTTAGCTTCTTTATTCTGTTATCTTATATTTCGGTTACAATTTGATCGTCTGCTGACCTCTGGAGGGGATCGCCTTTGAGCAACGCTAATATAAAGCAATATAGATAAATGAAAAATGATATTAAATAAAAACCAACATTAATCATTACATCCTTCAAATGCTTTCTGAGCTGTCCTCGATTCAGGATCTCTGCAGGATCGTATGCACCTAAATTCCCCCGAGGAACGGTAAAGTATTCGAACGTTAGCCAAATAAACAAAGGTAAGTTCAAAACGAATAAGATCAACTGACCATGTAATAATAATAAGACCGTTATAAAACTGTGCGCTATGTACTTTGGTAGCATCCAATAGTTAAGCTTTTCACAGCATTCTTGAGCATTCAAGTAATCACATTCCAGGTCAGATAGCGTAATTATGTAGTAAACTAGAAGAAATAATATTCCACCGCTGTCGATCAGTGTCAATGAAAACAGAAGAGTTTCAGCTAATATCATAACTATAAATATTTTACCACGTCACTTCGATGCGTTAAGCAAACTGGTGAATGTCGTTAATAATTAAAAATCCACTTATTAATATCAGCAAATCTACTTTATTTTTCGATTGCTTCCAAATCAAAAATTTAACGCCATGACGCCATTGGCCTTTGATTTCGATATGACTGTCAAGTGTCAATGTCAAACTAACCTCTGTCAATTCTGTCATTTCTGTCAAATATCCCTAGACCATAGACTATACTATACTATAGTCAGAATTTTAATTAGATTCCAGATTTGACAATAGCTACTGTCATTTTGTGAAATAATGATACCACATATAATAGTGTAGTGATGAACACAAAAATCGATAAACAATCAGTGTGTATGTTTTATAATAAATGTTACAGAAAGGGACAGGATAGCGATAGCGATGACGACGACAATTTATAAAATAACTTATTACCATAATACATCTATCTGTTTCATTTGTCATTTTCCTTCATGATTACATTTTGTTAGTTATTTCACACACAATTATAAAAGAAAAGTCTCTGATCGTTAAGTAATCGTCAAAACTAAATTATCGGTCAGAAATATTTAATTTCCTGATATCCTTAGTTTACGAGAGTAAAATTATAAACGAGAAGAATCGATCGAGAAATATAGCATTTCCATATCGAATAATTTCGCAACGTCACTATTTAGTACTTGTCATAACGTTGCAACACTGAAATTGTCAAATCTGGAATTGAATTAAAATTCCGAGTATAGGCAGTAAATTGCTGCCTCCTCACCAAAGAGTATAATAAGTATAGGGGATCTCCTCTCACAGCCCAGCCGTCGCGAAAGACACTCCGGGTGTCGAGGATCGCGGGACGATCTTCGGCCACCGTAAGTGCGGGCCTGCGGACGGCGAGCATAGGTGGCTCGCCGCCCGACCAGAACCAGACCCAAGCGTACGGCGCGTCGCGCTCCGCGCGCACCTCAAAGAGCCATTAGACCACCACGGATGGGGCGCAATAGGGCTGATGCCGATACGGAGCCGCGGAGAACTTAACGGGTTACGGGGCTCCGGCTCGAAGAGCAGGAGTAGGAACGGGGTCGTTTTCGGTCAGTAAAGTCTGACACTCCCTCACCTCACCCAGGCGGGAGAAGTAAGTAATTCGATGACTTTCCCCCTTTAAAAAAAATCAAGCAATATGCATTTTTTGTATGAGTTGTATTAGCTTCACTTAGTATCACTCTTAGAACATAAGCTATTTATATGTGTGGTATATGCACAAATTGTACAATAGTACATAACATCACGCCTTTTTATCCCCGAAGGGGAAGAGAGAGGTGCACATTAAGGCACTTAACTCGTCGAGTACCGGTTTTGTAGACACAATTATAGAACAATAAGTTGCGGTCACCGGTGACCGCTTGGTGTTTGACAGTTTAATGCCACTGTAAAATGTAACACCCACATTTCAATATATATGTCACGAGTCCCATGTCATCAATACAGTATTGTATTGGTTTATTTTATTTATCAATATTGTTACTTCTTTTAATTTGTTTGTTTTTAACTTTTTGTATCTCGGTGTCGTTATTTCTCTTCCTGCCAGAAGCCCACAGAAATTCCAGTTGGAATAAGTAGGTAGGACCTATGTAGGTACCTCATTTTTATATTTATCCTGTCCTTTGTGTTGTACCTCTATGTGTGTACATAAATAATAAAGAAAATTCCATACTAATGATTATTATCACGATTGTGAACTCTATTAGTTCGGCAGTTAGAAAAATATTGTAAAAACCTGAATAACTGTTAAAAAATTTTGTGTACGCCATGGAAAAATAGGGTAGGCCTTGACCGAAACTGTTCTAAGTTCCCAACTTAGCACTTACGGGAAGTAGCTGTTTTAGAGTACAAAATACAAATCCTACAAAACTCTCAATTGTGCAAAATAAAACATTATTATGTCAAAAACTTTTTATTCAACATTCTCTCCTTATACTAATAAAGGCTTAGTAAATATTTACAAGGCTTCATTACAGGGCAAGGTAAAAAAACTATCCAGTTACACTACAAATCCGACTCCAGTGGTTATCACATCTTAACATTTATTGAATACTTGGCTCTACTACAAACCAATGGCTTTAAGCCGGGTATTGCTTCAAAAGTTCACAATTATGACCAGCAGTTCTTCAGTAAAAATGTATTCAACCTTAATATTTAGTAAGTTTATAGAAGCTGATTCATTATATGTGTAATAAGTAAACAGCAGAGAGCAAATTAATTAAGGTAGAAGAATACAATATTATGTGTAAACATATAGTATAACGTCGGGTTGGATATAACTTAGATTACAAACAAAAATTAACTCTCCTAAAATAATTACAACAATAATAACAAGTATGCAGATAATATGCTATTTATCAAACATTAATCTCACTTAGTATCTCGTTAAATACATTTAAACTAAACTCTTGCACAAGAGTAAATACAAAGCTAATTAACACACTAGGCCTGTTAATAATATTTGGGAGGCGATATGAACATTCTCTCCCTTTATGATTCGAATATATTTGACTAACATGGGTACAATTTTGATAATGAGCAAATAGATTTTATATATTTAAATCTAGTGTAAAGATTCCGTATAATTCACTTAGATAATGGAATATTACTTAAATAATAAAGCAAATTACAATTTGCGAGCCCTGTTTTAATTTTGAACGCAGCCTCTCGCTGGCTCCGTATTTTCGAAAACTTTTCAAGTCCGAAACTGGTGACATTGATTTATAAATTGTTAATCATGTTTACTTTAACATTAGAGCCACACATACAATCCAATATACAAATTATACAACGTTAAATCTTCTTCTATATAAATTCAATGTTAAATTTTAATAGCACCATTCCATGTGCAAATGTACTTTATATTATTGGGTGATTAAATAATTAAAGTACAAATGCACACCCATCTCACCGTGTCTGCAACCCATACATCAGATAGTAAACATTCAATAAATATTTCGACGCCTCCTTGCTTAAAACTGTGTCATAGATAATAAATAATGTAGCCTGATGTTTGAACATTTACACACGCAGAGCAGTTATCCATATTCGTTGTAGTAACAAGTATTCAAAAACTAAATAAATTGTAAATGCAAAAAATGGCAATATACTTTCGATTCTCAATTCAATTTCTGCTTTATCTAATCCTTCTCTGATGAAGCAAAGGTAAACGCTAAACAACACGTGATATTATACAAATACATTAGTAAAAAAACACTCACACATAGTAATGAATACAACAGAAACAAAAACTGTAAGTACACTTGAATGACTTGAAAAATAAATAAATTATAAATATGCACTCAAACAAGTATGCAAGCAATCCGTTATTGTTTTGTATATTACTTATAAGATTTAAGTTGCAAGGAACTAAGGGCAATAAATAACAAGCTAATAGTTAAATACGTAACTAAATCCAGACTACGCAAAAGATGCCACTCTATGAAATGGCTCTCTAAAGAAGTAAGCACTTCAAATTTCGTTAGCTATCTCGTTATTAGGGCAGTTTGAAGCCTCTAAACAAATTGGTCCAGTCGTTTGAGGATCTCTAAGATATAAACTAATTACGACCACATCCAGGTAACGATCGCGTAATCGAGTACAAACGACAACTTATTGATAACGGCGCACCTATCCTACATTTTAGACATTATAATGGAATGATACATTTTTTAAGAATGTTGTTGTTACAATAATTAAAATAATCATCTAGGTAAACTCAAACAATTACGATACTTTTGCACGACGTTAGTCAAGTCCGCAACATGTGTAAGTGTGAACATAACAGTGTAGTGTACAATTAACAAGTGATCCCGAAGTGCTTGCATAGTTGTTCGACTGCGAGGAGCTGGCTCCCTAAGTTATCTAAATGAATTCATATCTAACATTGTTCCCAAGCTGGTCCCACCCATGACGATGGCTTGTGAATGTGCATCTTGTTCTCAATATTTTACTAAATTTTAAATTTCCACTAAACATAAACGTCAATTATAATTTTGTCAAATTTGATAAAATAAATAATCGCAACGAGAGAGACAAGTGATCTTGTGCCATATTTTGCACTTCAACAAGACTGGAATGTCACTTATTGATTCGGGAAATAGCTATCCATGCGCTAGGGACAGCCTCAAGCGGATTTTAATAATTGACACAACATCAATCTTAAGCTTTTATATCGTATAATTATAATTAACACAATGTGTACGTGACCAGGTGACTCATTGATTGATTGTGCCTAAACAAAAACAACTTTCCTTATGATAATTTTTCCCTAAGTTTTAGTCATCGGGCGGAATGCAGAAATCCACAACTATGTTGAGTATTATTATTCTCAATATATACATAAGTAGATAATAATAATTATGCCTATAAATAGTAAATAAAACGGACTTAATATATTATGTGAGCCAAGTATGTCTGCGCACGCGGCGGCGACGCGCGATCACTCACTAGTGAAGTAAATGAAACATTCAACTATTATCAACTAGCGACACAAACGTTACGTACAGCATTAAGTACATAAACTAAAGTAAATCATACAGTTCTATATTAATGTAAACACTTTGTGTTTCACAACATCAATCTCTTAAGTCTAGTCTTCGATAAATAAAAGTCATCATCATTATGGAAGAACGAGTCACGAGAGCAGACTAGCGCTTCGATCGTCGCCACTCCGTAGCGACCGATCGCAAGTAAGGAAAATATTACGTTCACATTGCACCAGCACAACGTCCTTCATCAGACGGATGTCACTCTAATATCCGTCATTCGCGAGGAAACGAAAGCCACGGCGTCAGGAGGCGGCGAGAGATCACAGGGTAAGCATCGTTAGAGAGCGACAGGCCGAGAGACAGGCGGGGCGCGCGGGTCAGGTGGCGTCGTACTCGATGCGGTCCCACGAGTAGTGCTTGCGGGCCGGGCGCGGCGCCAGCGGGCCCGGGCCCGCGCCGCCCAGCAGCGGGTCGCACGGCGCCACGTGGCCGCGCCCGAACATGTTGGGGATGAGCTCCGTGTCCATGTACTCGTACGCGTCCCCGTCCACGTGCATGTGCGAGCCCGTGTCGATCCCGAACTCCTTCAGGTCGATCTCGCACGGCCGCTCGTCGAACGTGTCGTGACGGGATTCTTCGTTCTGGAACGATGGCAACGATAGATCGTCCATGTATTC